CATTTTCTTGTGGTTGTAGGACAGTGGTCCCGTTTTCCTGCGGGTTGTCAGCCAGTGACTACTCTCAGCCTTTAGAGCCTGCCCCCCCTTTCTGTGCCGTGTGGCCCCCATAGGGAGATCACAGCATGAAATGTTGGCTTTCTTCCAGGCTAGCCAGATCACACCTCTGACTTTCTCTTCTGCGACCAACTAGAGAAAATGCTCTGCTTTTAAAGAACTCACCTAAGGGGCTTCCTTGGTGGCGCAGTGGTTGAGAATCTGCCTGCCAATGCAGGGGACACGGGTTCGAGCCCTGGTCTGGGAGGATCCCACATGCCTAAGAGCAACTGGGCCTGTGAGCCACAATTACTGAGCCTGCGCGTCTGGAGGCTGTGCTCTGCAACAAGAGAGGCCGCGACAGTGAGAGGCCCACGCAACGCGATGAAGAGTGACCCCCACTTGCCACAACTAGAGAAAACCTGGGCACAGAAACAAAGGCCAACACAGCCATAAATAAATAAATAATTTTTTTTTTTTAAAAAGAAAGAACTCACCTGATTAGGTCAGGCCCACCCAGGGTAATCGCCCATTTGCCATATCACATAATAGAATCATGATGTGATATCTCAACATATTCACTCTCAAAGGGGAGGGCATTATTCAAAGGCTGGACATTGGGTGTCACTGTAGAATTCTGCCTGTCACAATGAACTTGTAGTTTAAAAATACTTTTATGATAGCATTTTATGAATATATGTGTTTATTATTTTTGTGTCAAGATTGCTGGGTTTTTTAAATAAATTTATTTTTATTTTATTTATTTTTGGCTGTGTTCAGTCTTCATTGCTGTGCACAGGCTTTCTCCAGTTGCAGCAAGGGGGGCTACTCTTCATTGCAGTGTGTGCACTTTGCATTGTGGTGGCTTCTCTCAGTAGTTGTGGCTCTTGGACTCTGGAGCGCAGGCTCAGTAGTTGTGGCACACTGGCTTAGTTGCTCCGCGACATGTGGGATCTTCCCAGACCAGGGTTCAAACCCGTGTCCCCTGTGTTGGCAGGCAGATTCTTAACCACTGAGCCACCAGGGAAGTCCCTGATTGGCTCCTTTGTTTTTTTTTTCTTTTTCTCAGCCATACTTTATAGTTTCTGTGTACAGATATTGCACATATTTTGTCAGATTTATCAGTAAATATTTTAAATTGTTTGAAGCTGTTGTAAATTGTGTTTTTAAAATTTAAATTTCTGATTGTTGTTAGTATCTGGAAATACAAATGAATTTTGTATATTGATCTTATATCTTGTACCCTTGATAAACTTATTAATTCTAGTGTTTTTTTTTGGGGGGGTAGATTTCATTGGATTTTCAACAGAGATGATAATGTCTTCTGTGAATAAAGTTGGTTTTATTTCTTCCTTTCCAATGTAGATTTTTTTTTTCTTTTTTCTTGCCTTGTGGCATTGTCTGGAACTTGTAATACAGTGTTGAGTCAACATAATGAGAGTGGACATCCTTGATTTGTTCCTGTACTTAGGAGAAAGGCATTCAGTTTAACAGTTGCTGTGGGTTTAGAATCCAGGGCGCCTTAGCTGGGTGCCTGTGGCTCAGCGTGTTGTATGAGGTTCCAGTCAAGCAGGAGGCTGGGGCTGTGGTTGCATTTGAAGGCTCAACTCTTGTGGTTGTTTGCAGTCCTCAGTCCTTCCATAAATGTGCCTCTCCACAGAGCTGCCTCCTAACATGGCAGTTGGCTTTTGCCTTGGGATAGTGATCTAAGAGAAAGGGAATAGGACTGAGAGTGTACCAGCGCAGAAACCACAGTTTTTTTATAATCTTTTCTCAGAAGTGATAGCCCATGATTTCTGCCATATTCTGTTTATTGGATATAAGTCAACAAATACAACCCAAACTCAAGATCTGTGTACTAAGTAAGAATGTGACTATCTGGAAGTGGCTATCACTGGGAGCCATTTTCGAGATTGCCTGACATCGTGTACTAAAATGGTGAATTACACATTTTAGAGTGTTAAGCCAACCCTGCATTCCTGGGATTAATACTACTTTTTCATTATTTATTATCCTTTTTATATATTATTGGATTCAACTTTTTAAAAATTGCCAGTAAGTTTTGCATCTTTATTCATGAGAGAAATTGATCTGTAGTTTTCTTCTAATGCTTTTGTCTGGTTTTGGTGTTGGAATGATGCTGGCTTCATATAGTGAGTGGGGAAGTATCCCCTTCTCTTTAATATTTTGGAAGCATTTCTGTGGAATTGATGTTATTTTTTTCCCTTAAATGTTTGGTTTACTTCACCAGTAATGTTGTCTGGCCCTGGCATTTTCTTTGTGATAACATTTTTGGTTACACTTTTAATTTCCTTAATAGACATAGGTAGACATAGGACTATTCAACTTATCTATTTATTCTCAAGTGAGCTTGGGTTGTTTTCATCTTTCACGGAATTTGCTTCATCTAAGTTGCTGAACCTATTGGCATAAAGTTGTTGATGATACCTGTGGAATCTGTAGTGATGTCATCTCTCTCATATCTGTTATTGGCAATATAAGTTCTTTACCTTTCTGCTCTTATCAGTCTGGCTAGAGGAGTATCCTTTTTTTTTTTTTTTAATCTTCTCTGAAAACTAGCTTTCAGTTTCATTGATTTTCTTTATTGTTTTTCGTTTTCTATTTCATTTATTTCCATAATGATATTTTTTCATCATTTTAATTCTCTGCTTATTTTAGGTTTTAATTTCCCTTCTTTTTCTACTAGTATTTGAAGGTGTAATCTTATTGATTTGAATTTTTTTCCACTATATGCATTTACCATTATAAGTTTTTCTACAGCTAAAGTACTATTTAAGCTGTATCTGCCATTTTCATATTCTGTTTAACTATTTTCATTTAGTTCAAGATACTTTCTAATTCCCCTTTTGTGTTGTTTAGTTTCCAAATATTTGCTGTCTTATCTTTTAAAGTACTTTTTTCCCTCTGGCTCCCTTTTAAGATATTCTCTTTATCACTGGTTTTAAGCAACTTGATTTTGATGTGCCTACATGTTATTTTCTTTGTATTTCTTGTGTTTAGGGTTCTTTGACTCTTCAGGTTCATGTGTTTATATTTTATAGTTATAATTCAGTTGTCTCAGTGGTGTGGGTGGTTTCGTATCCATATCACATCTATTGCCTCTTGCTTTCACATCTGTAAGAGAAACACGTGAACTCTTGAGTGAAAATTGAGTGAAACACGTCAGTGCATCTAATCTTGTGATAAATTGTTAGTTTTTGATCATGACTAGAGGACTCTGCCTTAAGTCTTTTAAAGATATCTTCAGCAGTTTTGTGGTATGCTAAAAGGTGTGATGATATCCTTCTTATTTGATTTAATTAAAGTTCAACCTATGCTTAGTAGTTGAGACACACTCATAGGACAGAGTTGATGCTTAATATTTAATGAAAATTTTTTTGTTTGTTTCAAAAACTTAAAAGACCTTAATTTATTATACATACTTTCCTGCTTTAGTATTTTCAAAAATTACGTTGTCAGACATGTTAATTATACAATTCAAACAATATAGGGGTATGTAAAAAATAAGTGAGCTTACCCTTTATCCGTTCAGTTCTACATATCTGGCGGTATCTTATGTTAACACTTTGGTGTGTTTCCTTCTATACCTTTCTATGTGCTCATACATACACATACAAATATCTATATGTCTGTATGTATATTTGTATCTATATCTATCCATACACATACGTTTCTTTCCGATATGGAATCATCTTATACGTATTACTCAGACACTTCATATGTTTACTTTAACAATATGGGGTTTTCTTAGATACTTTCTGTTTTCCTGCCTTCTTAAATAAGGATATGGAAACTTTTCACGAGAAGAAAAAAAAAACTTTAAAAGTATTTTCAGAGTTGTCTTTTCTCTAAACAGCATAATAAAGTTACCTAGCTTTACAGGCAAGCTAGAGGCCATAAAATTACTTAAAAAGAAAAACAAAGTCTCCAGAATACAGGGAGAATGAAAGAGTTAGAACGTAAAGTGGAAAACAAGGAGCAAAAGTCAAAGAGACTGAAATAAAATGAGAGAGGGGGGCAGACTATGCAGTAAGAGAATGAATGAAGTTGAGAAGAAAATCGGGGTTTAGTGGAGTAATATGAACAAAATAAAGTGAGAGAGTGGCATGGACATATATACACTACCAAATGTGAAAACGATAGCTAGTGGGAAGCAGCCGCGTAGCACAGGGAGATCAGCTCGGTGCTTTGTGACCACTTAGAGGAGTGGGATAGGGAGGGTGGGAGGGAGACACAAGAGGGAGGGGATGTAGGGATATATGTATACGTATAGCGGATTCACTTTGTCATACAGCAGAAACTAGCACACCATTGTAAAGCAATGATACTCCAATAAAGATGTTAAAAAAAAAAGAAAAAAGAATAAACATTGTTTTCAACTTTTACTATCTCTACCTTTTAGCCTTTTCATATGCTCCATTCTAGTTTGGAGATGAAATCAAGATTGGGATAGATTTTAAACACGTATTCAAGCATTAAAGTGTTGACGAACATAATGACTTTCTCTAGCTGTGTTAGCTGCTTCCATGGTGGCGCATCAGTTAAAATGCCCATCTGATTTAGTTCAGCTGTTTTTGTTTGTTTGTTTGTTTGTTTTAAGGCAACTTATCCAACTTTTAATGATTCAGAAATAATCCCAGTTGCAGTCAGATGGTAAAATATGTGACAGAGTTCAAGAACCACCTTAGGGCGCTAGCAGTAGAGACCTTAAGCTTCCTGTTTTAGGGATAGCAATTTTAGTGTCAGCCCTAAGTGAGTATAAGCAGAATGATTATGAGGAATTTTTCATATTGAGGTTTAAGCTAGTGTAGCTTTTAAACTGTGGCCTTTCGGGGTATTTCCTGGAATCAAAATTGGCATGCTTTCTAGGATAACAAATCAGCATGTTTAGTGATATTAAAGTTTCAGTGGAGAGGTTGAGTTTAATTTCTTTTTTTTCCCAGATATGTGTCACAAAGATGTCTACACGGAACTGCCCGGGAATGGACTCAGTGATCAAACCCCTGGACACAATTCCTGAGGATAAAAAAGTCAGGGTTCAGAGGACACAGAGCACTTTTGACCCATTTGAGAAACCAACTAATCAAGTTAAGAGGGTGCATTCTGAGAACAATGCTTGCATTAACTTTAAGGCCTCCTCCACTGGCAAAGAGTCTCCTAAAGTTCGGCGGCACTCCAGCCCCAGCTCGGTAAGTGCAGTCTTGGTCACTTATCAGTGGGTGAACAGAACAAGTATCCCTCTTATAATAGTGGCATGCTGTGCAGGAAGACAGCAGGTGGCTTTATCAGTACATTATTATGCATTGTCTCCTTAGGTGGTTTAATGTTTTTGGAAGAAAGAGCGCAGGCACGCGCAAGTGCCAACTATATACAGACTCTTTATTCATAAGCACCCAACAAGCAAATGAGAAATGATTCAACTTATTTTGGGAAAGATTATTTTCTTTCTAGTTGTTTCTAGTCAGAGGAATTTATAATTAAAAATCCTTCGCTATTTTGAACGCCTGGAGAGGATGTTTGAACTTCACTGTGTTTGCGGGCAGTAAGGGTCGTTTTGAATTTGGCAGATTCACAAAGAATTTCATTCGAGGGCACATGTTAGAATGTGTTCACTTGTCTTACTCCAGTTTGTTCTCATTGTCAATAGTCTACAAATTACGAGCTAGACATTGAAACTGATCTTCTTAAAGAGAAATCCTTTTCATCACAGTGAAATTTTCTAAACCCAAACTATATCAAAGCAAGTCTTGCCTTTGGACCCAAGGAGGTATAAAGTTCTGAGGTGATTGCTGCTTTTTGACTGTAGAAGTTTTACTGAAACTCATATTTCCAAGATTGGCCTGCATTTAACATTGTAAAAAAAAAAACTTATGATCTTTTGAAATTAAGTAATTTTCTAATTTAACCCACACTTAAGAACTTCTTGACATAGATGGTCTAAGAGTTTAAAGGGTAAGTGAAGAATGCTAAGAGAATTTTGATTCTGTCATCTTGCTAAGAAACATATTCCATTTCACAAATTTTAAATATTAAATTCCATGAGGGCCGAAACAGAGCAAGAGATGTCAACTGCTAGGAGAATATTGACAGTTTAATTCAGTTTAATTAAAGTGTATGATACCTCACAAATCTTGTGTCACATTTTTTTGTTAATGAATCGAAAATAAATTCGTTAATGCAACATTTATGAGGAGAATTGATTATCTTGGCTTTCCCCAAATTGGCCCCTGTAATCTTGTCTATGATTGCAAGGTAGTGTCCATTTAGGTCACAGATACAGCACTAACTCCTGGGAGAACTTTTAGATTTAGTATCATTTAGAAGAAATGAAAAGAATCATTGAAGAATAATTAAGCTTCTGTAATGGAAAGAGAATTACATACATTTTACTATATAGTTATCTTAATATTATTATATGTCAGTCTACGTGATATATAGAAATTGGCACTTGAGATATTGCAACGAAGCATACTTATACTAAAAAATTATTCACTGTTTATATGAAAATCAAATTTAGCTAGTTATCCTGTATTGTACCTGCAATCCTAGTTATTATCCAGTGGTACATTATTTCTTTTGTTACTCAAATTGTTCCTGCTTTGGTCACTGGGAGCTCTTTTAGCTTGGCCCCTGTGTCCTTTTGAGATGTCTTCATCCCTTTGTTTTTTGAACACTTTCTTACTTTCTTGTCCTACAAGTTGCTCTTGACTTACACTGTGTTTTTCCAGCCCCAGACCTCGAATCAGCCATTTCTCCAAAGATCCCTGTCTCCTTTGATTGAAGAGTGGTATTTAGAAACTAAGACTGGGTGCTGGGTGTGCTTACTGCTACTGGGGGTCATCAAGTCAGTGTGTACATCATAGTATGAATAATAACAGTGGGATTTTTAATATTTAATAAGGAGTTAATTAAAATACTTGCCAAAGAAAGCTGAGACTTGTCTGATGCGTTCTGTATTTCTCTCTGTATTTATTCATTTATTTTATACTGGAGTATAGGTGATTGTTAACAATGTGTCAGTGTCAGGTGTACAGCAGAGTGATTCAGTTATACATATACATGTATCTATTCTTTTTCAAATTCTTTTCCCATTTAGATTGTCAGATAATATTGAGCAGAGTTCCCTGTGCTATACAGTAGGTCCTTGTTGGTTATCCATTTTAAATATAGCAGTGTGTACACGTCAGATAGGAGAGGACTCAGGGAGCATGGCAGTGGCGTAGGGTTAGAAACCCCTTCATATAATTAGAGAGAGCAACTAGTGCAGTAAAACCAAAACCAATGGATAACATCAACAACAAATATAGGTGACGAGGTTTCTCCGTGAACCTCAAACTAGGAGTGAGGGGAACAAACCATGAACAATTTTAAGAACCATGTGGTATCAGAAAGTGAGAGGGAGGAAGCTCAGGGAAGGCCAGGGGACTAGGGCCTACTCTCAGATCCAGGAAACCCCAAAATTGCCATCAGGTACGTACTGGTGGCTCATTGGGCCATTCTTAGGACAGCAACAGCACCTGGGTGGGGACTTGGATGGCACCTGTGAGTGCATGAGTGCACAGAGACCATGGGGTGTCTGCTGGTCTTCCTCCTATGACTTCCCTAGAACATCAGATTGAAGCACCTTTTCAGGACAAAGCCCTGCACTGAGTAGAAAGTGCTGGAGTAGACTTCTGTGCAGGGAAGGTTCAGTAAGGCAAAAGGGAAAGAGAAAGTCCAGAAAGAAGTGTTGAAGTGAAACAAATGGGGAAAGCTCAGTGTGTGAGAGATTGTCATTTTTTTCTTTTTCAATTCATGGAACAGAGAAAAGAATTTCATTCCATAAAGCTAGAAAAGCTATCTTGGCCATATGCCTCTCAAATTACTGAAAAATTCATTTTACTGAAAAATAACCAATAGAAAAATTATTGGTTGAATCCCATACAAAACTATGAAAAAAAGAGAGAGAGAGTAACGAGTAGCATACCATCTCTACAGATAATGAAAGCAAGCTAGAGGGGGGCAAAATTATCGTTATTGCAGATTTATGATGATATATCTAGAAAAACCAAAAGAATCAGTGGAAATACTACAAACAGTGAGAGAAGTTAGCCAAATTGCAGGTTATAACATTAATATACAAAACCCAATAGATACCATTATAAAAACAAATAAGAATTAGTGTTGAAATCTGGCAAATAAATCAAACAACTAAGCATTTATTTTCAGTGATTTCTGTATGAAATTCACCTCATGGTAATCTAGTCATTGATGAAGGGAAATTTCTCTTTTAGGAGTAATCCCACTAATAAATCAAGAAAGAATAATAGATTTAGGAATCACCATTTGGCAACCCCTGAAGAATTAATACATCTAAGCAAAGATTATAAATACCTGCTAACATCCTCAAAAGAGGGACATCCAGAGGTTATGATGTCCTCATGGGAGTATGCAATAACCACCAATAGAATTAAGCCTGCATCTGAACAAGTCTCTAGATGTAACTACCTGAGTTACAGGGTACAAAGGAACACATCGAGACGGGATTTTCTCTTCTCTATTCCTATCCCCAAGTATGTTTACCCTACTTTTTGGCTTTAATTTGTATACAGTGTTTACAATCTTAAGATGATGTAAATACTGTTCTTAGTGAGATCACGTAGTGTACTATGATTAACTTTCTTTCCTTGCAAAAATTTTTGATTTTCCTAGTTATAATTGCCTCTTCTTTTCATTTGTTCATAATTAATGCAATTAATTAATAGAATTTTAATCACAAATTTGAGGCCTCAAACTATTTGATAAAACTAGAAAACTCCTCTGAAATAAATCAGAATCAGATAATCTGTCAGTTTTTCTTCCCCCTGAAATTTTCCTTGTGGTTCTCCATTGTCCTAATCCAATCTGGACTGGTTGATCTCCAAATTGCTGTCAGGAGACGTCCCTTCATTCCTCCAAAGCTGATGGACCAATCTAGTTTTGAGGACAGGTAAGCCTAGCTGCAGTTTGTTTCCTGAGATGATCAAGATGGGGCTCAGTGCCTTTTTTATGCTTCATTTTTGTTCAGTCTCACTGTTCATCCTGGTTTTCATTATGCTTGATGTCCTAATTCTGAGCCTCTCAAGTTCAACCTCTTCAGAGAATAAACCTCTGCTGGGATCAGGGATAGGCAGACACCTGACTGGGAGAGTCTAGGGGAAAGGACCTGTTCCTTAAATCCACTCTAACTTATCATTTTGGTTTTAGCCCCTCCTTAAAGTTCAACTTCCAATTCTTGAGTGTTTCTGGGATTCTGAAGTATGAATTGACTTAGTTCTTACTGGTTTCTACCTTTAGTCATCATCCTTGTCAGTGACCTCCTGTCCATTTGTTTCCCATCTCAAAATTTTTGTTTGTATCTTGTCTTCAGTCTTCTCCTTATTCATTTTATTTGCCCTTCTGAGTTATAACTTAGTACTGTCATTTTAGTACAGATTGGTAAGGGGGAGAGATAAATACTTGTATTCAAGCCACCATGTTGAACTGGAAATGTCCACTGTTTCTCTCCTATTATATTAACTTCCTTTAGATCCTCTTTCCTGAGAGTTTCTTATTGGGTTTACCCTTTTCTGATCCAATCTGGGATGTCTGTCTTGTATATCAGGGCGCTTATATTACTTTGTGTGAAAAGTGCTTTGCTTTCTTTTCATTTTGGGAACTTTTGCTTCCATTCAGTATGCCCTGGAAAAAGGTCTTTGCTCTTTCCTGATCAAGCTGGAAATAGTTTCTTTTTCTCTTTTAGCACGATGCTACAGTATTCTGTTTTATTCTGAGTCCTTTCTGTCTGCTGCCTTTTTGTTCTCTCCCCTATTGCAGTGACGGGGGGAGGGGGGGATTTTATTATACTCTTTTTCATGGAAAGACTATTTTCCTTTCGATTCCTCATTGGGCCGAAAATGGACGTGGTTACACTTCTTGTGCAACACCATTTTACATCCTGTCCAGCAGTGTATGGGTTTGATCATTTCATACTCAGTGGCATGAGAGTTTTATGACATAGGTTTTGTTATTTTTTTTTTTGGTTTTGTTATTTTTAAAGATTTTTTAAAGGCTGATAAGCATCAAAGGAAACCCTTTACCTAAGGGCAACCAGGATTAATGTTATAGCTTTATTTTATTGTTATTTCTTTGAAAGTATTAGTTATCTTGAATAGGCTCCAAGAGTACAGTT